GGGCGGGCGGGGCTGGGCGCCGCGGGAGCTTCCCCTCCCCCGGCTCGGGCGGCCCGGCCGGCGCAGGCGCCTCCCTGCGCTCCTTCCTTCCGCCTCCTCCCGCGCCAGTGATTTAAACCCGGTGCCCCCGCCCCGCCCGCCGCGTCTCCCTCTAGACCCCGCTGCGTGCAAGGGCCCTAGGGTGCGGAGCTCGTGGCTGGAGGCTGTGCCTCTGGGGCGGGGGAAGCCGTTCACTCCAGCTCCACTTCCAACCTTTCCGTTGGGAGTGGCTGTGGGACTGGACATCGCCCCCTCGAGTAGGGTACAGCAGCGTAGCATAGGATGGGAGGGAGATGTGTAAACAGATGTTTGTAGGATCGTGATGAGTGCTTTAAGGGATCCTGGGGATTTGAGAGAGGGTACCTGGGACAGAGTCAGGGACGGTGATTTAATAGAAGTTACTTGCAAATAGAATCTTGATTGATGAGCAGAAAGTTTGTTTTGCAGGTGAAGAAAGATCGGGCAAACTAGGTCGAGGTTGTAGCAGCTGCCAGGGGACCTAGTGTGAGGCTGCTGTCAGGCCACAGGAATCTCCGGCCCCCTGCCCAGGTGGAGTACCTGCCACCGCAAAGACAAAAAGGAAGGGCTCCAGTTGGTAATGGCAAGGGACTCCGTGGCGGGAAGATCAGTACCGATTGTAGATTCATCTAAGTAGTAGATTTCAGTGATTGGAAATTCACAGGATTTATGAGAGCTGGAGGAGGAAAGGAGCAGTATTTCTGAGAGCTCTTATTTAACCACTCTGAGCCCCAGTTATCATTTGGCTAAGTAAAGGAGGTAATTTAATGCCACGGTTTTACCCAAAAATATTAGGAGAAATGATTAGAGGGAAGATTGAGCTTACTGTATTTGTGGGAGGAGAGGAGCCCTGAAAAGGCTGGAAGTAAAATGAATGCAATACCCGATGAGGACATGGGTAGGATAGGTTGTCAGGGTGTTAGTGGGACACAGAGGCCAGAGATGAGGGTATAGGAAATGTTAAGAGGTGGAAGGGTCCGTGAGCATAGAAAAGAGTCCTCTGTGGTGAAGTTCCCATTTCCCCGTGAAACAGGAGACTTACGTGGAAGAAGGAAGGGAGCTTGGGAAGAGGGGCTTGGGGTTGGTTGGGGTGTCTGCAGACAAGGCTGAGAACCTAGTGGGGGATGGTCTCTTGGCTGGCTCTCTGTCATGCCCTGCCCAGGTGTAGTGGAGGGGCCATTTGAGATAGGATTTTATATACATAGATAAGTATGTATTTGATACTAAGAGGTGACATTTTGTGATTTCCCAAGGAGAGTTTCATCTATATGTAAATTTATACTAAGACTTCCAACACATTCTAGAGTTAAGTGTTGTGTTTGTAATTTATTTAGAACAGGCTTATACGTAGGTAGTCTAAGGGTTCCTATTTTTGTTTTGCCCGGACTCTTGGAACGTATTGTAGCCTTTGCTTAAACCTTCGTTTGTTGTAAAAGTTAAAATAGTATTCTTGATAATGATTTTCACTAGGTGGCACGTTGGTGCCAACTCATGTGTCTTGATTTTTAGGGCTTAAGAACTAGGCCTGGTCACCACTGTCTTCTCCTCTCTACTGCATACATTTGCTCACCTCAGTAGGGTCCAGTCCAGCTCTTTTCACTAAGGAGAGTTGAGAGTTGTTGGCAGTTTTTCTGCTTAGACACTTGACTTGCCTAAGGACTCAGAAATTAACTTCTTTGCACCCCAGTGGTAGTTTTATAAATACAAAAGGCGGGTCCTTATTTACTGAGGGATTGCACACATTCATCATTGGCAGGACTTTGACCTTCTTGGAAAAGAGCTGACCTGCCTGTTGGTTATGACTGGTTATAATACTTCATGATAAGGATGGAGGCAGTTCGTGCTAGAAAATTCTAGAAATCTTCCACTAAACTTGGAACTGTGACCTTCCAACTACAGTTGTTCTGACCTTGGTGGCAGTAGATGATTGTCAGTTGCCCTTAGCTTTCTTAGAAGATCACACTCACCCACAGTCGCCTGTAGGTGAGGTATTTGATTCTACTTGCCCTTTCTTATAGCCTTATTTGAGAAGAAACCAACACCCTTCTCCTCCCAGGTTCTGGACTCACTAGACTACTCTAGTTCCTGACCAGGTCTGCTGCTGAGTATTTGAAAATTTATAGACAGAAAGATGTAGGCCAGAAGCCCAGCAACTGGCCATCTAGATGTTCTGGTTAGGTGATATTTGAGGGATGCCAACAAAGAGGATAGGCACGAACCCTGCAAATGGCTGATTTGCTCGGTACATCACTCAGTTTTTTTTTTTTTTTTTTTTTTTTTTTTTGCGGAACCATTGATTGAACTCAGGCCCTTGCGCTTGCCAGGGAAGCGCGTATTCCACTGATCCATCTCCCTGGCCCCCATCACTCAGTTTTTAGAAGTTGTTGGGTTCACGTTTTCATTGAGAAAATGTGCCTCCCAAGGTTAACTTCATTTAGGATGTTAGGCTTTTAAAGGCAACTGCTGTCCTATATCTTTTGCTCTGTAGCACCAAATCCTCATTCATTAATGAGTGTGGTTATTCCATTTTAAAACTTCCATTCTACTAGTTTTTTGTATGTTAGTTAACTTATATGCTTGGAAAAAAGGTCCATCCAGTTATTTAACTCAGGATTAGATACCTCTTATAAGTATACCTATTATTTTTTTCTGTGCTGCCTTTGTGTCTTTAGCCAGTAAAGTAGCTCAAATATGTAGAATTTGACCTACCCTGATTGATGGTCATTTCATTTGTATCTCTGAACACTGAACCCTTTTTTTTCTTCCTTTTTTTAAAAAAATATAATTTCCGTCTCACTTTGCTGATTATTATTTTAGTATCAAATCTGCATTTTGGTTTAAAGTTGAGATTTGCTGTCCTGGTCAGGTGTGGCTTGGGATCCTTCTCAGTACAGCTCATTGGAAATGATGGGTACAGTGATGGAGCTGGAAGAGATGCCTGCTTCTAGTCCAAGCCTCATTTAGGACAGCTGGTACCCAGGGAGGTTAGGGGACTTGACTAAAGGGTGGTTGTTTGAGAAAGAGTGGAGGTAAGAATTTCTTTCTTGAATCCTAGTCCGAAACCCTTCTCATTTCACCCCAATACCTCCCAAGATGCTACTTGATAGTAAAGTGGGGTCTTGGGTAGGGCCTGTGTGCATTTTATGTGTGGTCCCTCCTCCTTTCACTGGTCTTACTATTTATGATTTTGAAAATTAGATATTAAATCCTGACCTCACTTTGAGATTGAATCCTTCTTCTGAAAAGATAGCCAGTTGTGGTTTCACTTCCCTGTGTTTTAATCACTTTCTCTGTAAAATGGGAATAATAATGGTTCCTACTGCTAATATTTTTGAAGATTAAATGAATATGTGTAAACTGTTTGAAATGTGCCTGACCCATGGTATGATGGAAGTGTTAGTGGCTGAGTTTGGGAGAGTTTTCTCTACCCCTTCATTTTCCATCTTGCCTTACCCACCCAGTTATATGATTTTCAGTTAGTCTTGTTAGGAGACTCTGCTTTGTAGAGTTTTTTGAGAATTGGTGTGCCTTCTTATTTTTGTTTTGCTTCTGTACGGATTGTCCTTCTTTTGCCATCATCCTGGATATTTGTTTAACAGAAGACATGGAGTATAAACTTTCACTGATGATAGTTTTCTTTTTAAGGATCTGGAATGCCCTGACAGACAATTTTGGAAACGTCATGCCTGTAGACTGGAAGTCGTCCCATACAAGGACTCTACATTTGCTCACACTGAACCTCTCAGAAAAAGGGGTAAGTTGAACCAGTAGGCTCTGTGTGACTGGTGTTGGTAGTGGAAGTGGAACAGCAGCAATTCTGTTCTGAACACATTTCATTGGGTTGCCGCACTTTGCCCTCACTGGCCATCTTGGCCACACTGTTGTCACTTTGCTAATGAGGTCCTCCTGCTCTTTCTCTGCACACGTCCACTCTTGTGTGCTTCACTGTTTCCATCGCCAGGGAAACTGGGTGCCAGTGATCTCCATTCCTTCCTGTTGCTATAACACTCTGGTGTGCTGAGAACACTCCCTGACAGTCCTGGCCTTTGCCCTAGTGCATTGAGGCTGTGGGAATATCAACGTAGAGTTCACTTAGGGGTGAATTGGCGACGGCTGCAGGACGTGACTTGTTGTCCAAAGACCATGTATTTCAGTGAACATTAAGGAACCATGAAAAGACCCTTTGGGACTGGGGAGATAGCTTGGCAGTCTAAGCACCTGCTTGGCAAGCACAGGGATCTGGGTTTGATCCCCGGTACCTCATGCCACACTGACCCTGGAACCCGGGTGAACTATGCCAGCCACCGAAACTGAGTGTGGTGGTGCATGCCTGTAACCCCAGCGCTGGAGAGGCTGAGACAGGAGGATCACCACGAGTCCGAGCTGTGTAATGAGATGCTGCACCAAATAAATAAATAAAAGATTTAAAAAAGGAAGACCTTTCAGCTCTTGGCTTTTTAACGTGTGCGTGGCTGACTCAACTGGCTTGAGGCTCCTGTGTACGTCCTGGTATCATTAAGTGAAGATGCCTGGGTAAGAAATGTGAGACAAGTGGTAATCACAGCGCTACATTTGCCTAGAGTTTTTGAGACACATAGCCAAATGATGTGAATTTTAGGGCCAGACTATTTAAGCTCCTTAGCAAATTATTGTGTAAGCTCATGTCAGATTATCTGGCATGCTCTGTAGTGTTTGATTATTGTGAGTATAAGGCGGCAGCGCTGTCAGAATTACACATAGTATTGTTAATGTTTTGAGAAAATGATTTTCTTAAATATGTGATGCAGAAGAGGCTGCTGCTGTCATTATCTAGTGAAAACCAGGATTCTGACTTTGTTTCCCAGTATTATGGGATACGGAGTGTTACTGTTTGTTCCTGCCTTTAATCTCATTAAAGCTTTTCAGATTGACCAGGCACATGTTCAGGGGAAAAGAACCAAGCCAAATACATTATGCCCTCTCTTCTATTTATTTAGGTCCTTGCTGATCATTTTTGGCTCCATTTAAGTTCCCTTTCTGAAGCTTCCTATTGCTGCTTTTAGCCTTTGCTGATCTCATGGAATTATACAATTTTAGAGTTGGAAGGGACTTTAAAGGACATTTAATCCAGCCTCACTGGTGTGGGGCGGGGAGAGAGATCCCCACCTACAGTGTCCCAGACAGATGGTCACTTAGCCCTGGCCCTAATCCTTCCATTCCTCCATGTGTTGTCAACTCCGGTGGGGTTGTGAACTTTTAAAGGACTTGTCCTCTGTCCTGCAGAATTTAGCACACAGCCCTTTTTTCATGTTTCTGTAAAATGATTAGTGTCTTTTTTTAGTGCATTTGGTTCACGGTCTGTAGCGTCTCACTCTGTAGATCGGACTCGTATTGATCCTCCTGTTTTCAGCCTCCCATGTACTAGGATTACAGGTGGGTGGCACCACGCTCAGTCTACATTGGTGTTTTTTATTAATCATATTTTTCTGGGTTGGTCATTAGATTAACTTCTCAGCAGATATCTTTGTATTTGTCTCTTTAGTAATTGCCACAGCACCTGGCACTGGGTGAGTACTAAGACATGTTTATTTTGTCAAATTGAGCACGTGACAGCTTCATCTGTGGGACTGTAAATCAGAGATCATGATGGAAGGTCTTTTTTTTTTTTTTTTTTAAGTATTTTTCAGTATTATTTAAAACAGTGCTGAATCCATCGTAGTCATTGCATGAGTACTTTTTTGTTTGAGCTATTAAAAAGTAGCATAGAAAAGTTCTTTTTATAGTTTCCAAGAGAAGCGCATTTGCAGTACAAATGGGCCCCTTAATCCATCTTCACTGAATAATATGTGAGTCTTGTGTTGTTCTTAGATTGCACCTTGGGTGGCAAAGCTGCTGTTTGAGTGTTGTTTTCAGTGCTAGAGTGACAGTGCCACCACGATAGTGACTAGTAAAGACTTAATTTACTACTAGTAAGGGTAAAAGCTTCCCCTGGAATAACTCAGCAAATTAAAGCAAACAGGTGCTCATCTAGCTGATCAGTCACCTGTCTGTCATGAAGTGACTCTTCTGGTAATGAACAGAACTGAAATCAGGCTATTTCTTAAGGAGGATTAATAGGCAACAAGGTCTATGGAAGAAGCAACCATGTTACTCTGTTGGGTGGTGTATAATTTAAAAATGTTGTTTCACCTGAGAAAGTTCTTATTTGCCATTGTTACCTGGCTTCTCTGTTCTTTCCATGGCTAAGCTGTGTACAATTTACCTTCTGGAAGCATTCTTTTAGATTATCCGCTGTCCAGTAGGGTCTGGAGGAAAGTTTTTCTTGATAGTAAGAGATATATTTACTTAGTTTTTGTGTTAAGATGAGAAAAACCATGAGGAAAAACCACAGTTTGCTAGAATTTAGTGCCTTGTTTTTTTTTATTTGTAGAAGATTAAGATGCACCTTTCTGCACTTGTGGGTCTTTTCTAAAATAAGGCAACTGGGACATTCTAGGTTCTTGCGTGAGTACGTTTTCCACCAGATGTATCTATTTGCAGTTTCACGCAGGGAGACAGCACCACCAGCTCTGTTTCTAAGCTTGGCATAAAGGAGTGAGGGGAATGCTTGGCACAAAGAGGGCGCATTTATTTCTAGTGGGAGGATGAATGATAGTCCTTATGACAGCCACGGTTAGTTTTCAGCACCTGAGAGAGATTCTAGGGCATGGCATCTGCCGTCTCTGTGGGGTGTGGGCTTGGCCTCCTCCCTGGAAAGATGATCTTACGTCATTATTTCTGTTGTCATGGAAATTTATTACAATAGTTTACTGGTGTTACGAGTGTATTTTGGACTTCCTCTAAATCTGGTGCAGTTCTTGTCTATGTGTCTACTTCGTTTTGCTAGGAAACATCTCCTGTGCGTTTTCCTTCTTTCTCACACAGCACCTCTAGGATACTTTGTGAAATACGTCTTTATGTCTTTGTAAGAAACAGGAAGAACATCTTCCTTAGGAGTTACTGAAAATTAAAACTTTCTGTATTTGTAAGTCAGAAGGGGAGAAAATAAGACAATATTATGTTGTTCAAGGCACAACTCTGAAAAGTGGTGGGGCAGATCTCTGGTAATAATAGTTGTCTTTTGTAGGTTGTTTAGTTAATAATTAGCTTACCAATCTTGTAGTAAATGGAGTCTACTCGGCTAACAGTCTCTGTTGACCTGTGTCGGGATCAGTGACCGAAGTTGTCAGGTCCACCCCACACTGTCCTTATCATTGTAGAGTGGCACTGCTTTCAGCTTCTTGAAATCCAGTATTGCCTCGTGAAGAGCCTAAGTCTCTTGATCTTACTCAATTAATAAAGAAAATAGTCATCATTTTAAAAAGCAGCTTAGAACCACAGGCTTTGGATGAAAAGGCGGCCTCTGCCCCACTTACTTTGCGGTTGAGTTTTAGTTAGAGCAGGCAGCTACTTCTGGCGGAACACCTGCTTATTTTATTTGCTGTTTAATTTTAGACTTTATCCATCGGCTCAACGGATGCAGATTTAGCTCTTACAGTTCTCTAGCCTCTAAGTAAGTGTGTAGCCATCACCCAAGTTTCCCTATCTTCCCAATTGTGATCAATCAAAGTTCTTGGTGAATCGATCTTTATTGTTTCTACTGTTTAACTACAGTTAACTCATTTTGCTATATTATTATTTATTTCTAATACCATTTTCGCTTTCTCCTAGGATAATGATGATTGTCCTTCTTGTGGGTTACTTAGTTAATCATTAGCTTCCCAATTTTATAGTAAATGGAATATCTAGGTTAACAGTGTCTTAACGGTATTTCCTCTGCCTTTCTTCATGTTTGTGCAGTAAGTTCTAATCTGAGCTAGTTGCTGCCTAGTTGAGCTTCACAACCATGCTTCTAGGATGCCTGTTTCCTCTGTCGTTATAAGAGTTCCCGTCACGTGTCTGTTTTATGTCACATCCTATGTCGTCTTTTTTTTTTTTTTTTTCAGGAGTCCCCCGTTCCTTCCCTTTTCTCATTTGCAGCGTTTGGTACTCTGGTGCTCACCCTTGAATTTCACAGACTCCTCCCTCAGGAGCTTGGGAGGTGGGAGGGCCCCACAATGATTCCACTGGGTCCTCAGTTTTACGTGCATCCTTGGTACTAATAAATAAGATAATTTTCCCAGATAAAATGTATTACTTTAACTACATTAAATAGAATATATTTACATACAGGTTAAATAGTCCTTATGAGAAATACTTTAGGAGTGTTTTAAATTCTGAGTGGCCTTACATTTTTCAGTATTTGCATATAATAATGAGATACCTTGAAGGTGGAACTCACATGCAAACATAGATTTTATCTGTCATATACACCATATATACCTAGTCTGATGGTAATTTATGCAGCATTTGTAGTGCACCTGTGTTTTGAATGTGACTGTCACAGGAGGTCAGGTGTGGAATTTTCCCCTTACATTGTCACATCAATGCTCAAAACGTTTTAGATTTACAAATTTCAGATTAAGTTTGCTTAACCTGTAATATAATACATTATTCTAATTATATGCTGAGAAGTGGAATGGTGTGGTTTCTTCTTACGCAGTCCTGGTGGCCCATCTGTGCTGCAGGAACTCACTGTGTATTCATCTTTCCTGAGGACTATATTTCCTGTCTCAGTTCTGTTTATCACTAGAGTAGTCATGTCATGATATGGATAGATAGATGATTGATGAATTGATGATCACTTATCCACTTGAATCTGCTAAGTTTTTCCAGGTCAGACTTTTATAATTAGCATTGGTACTAAATTCTAAGCATTAGGACAGGGCCTGTTGGTATTGGTGTGGGCAAGGTTAAGGGAAACCATCTAGGTATGGCAGAATATTCTGGAGATAGCAAGAGCTTGTAGCACTTTAGCAGTCCTGGACATGAACAGGTTTGGAAAGGGAGAAGCTTTTAGAAGCTAAAGAGATTAACTGTGGGAGAGGTTTGCTGGTGAGAGCTGTGGCCTTTGGTAAAGAGCCAGAGTCGACAAATGGCTGGCTGGCTGGCAGGGAGGAAGGCGGCAGAACAGGCGCCCAGTCCTCACCTTCTCACCGTGCAGTCTCCTGGTGCCTGCCAACGCTGTGTAATTCAGCTGGAAGCCAGAAGTCAAGGGCATCCTTTGATGTGGTCTGCAGGGTCAAACTCCCAGGCACAGAGCGTGGGAGAGAAGGTGGGTGAGGTGCTTGGAGACTTTCCATCGCGGTTAGGTTTGAAGATGTTTTAGAATCTAGAGATACTCTGTTTTGGGAAGAAGGGAGGTTTGCCAGGAAGGGCTGAGACCCTGGCAGATAGGAACTATCTATCCTCTATCTACCATTTGTTCTGTCTTGTTCTTTCCGCTTGGGATGAACACGTGGAGACCCTGGTAGATAGATCCTATCTGCCAGGATGTTAATTACCTACCTGTTACTCTGACTGCTAGAAGTTAGTTTGCTAGTAACCCCCTTTTTTTTTTTTTTGTATACTTTTAACACACCAATTTTGCTGCTAGATTCTTAACTACCATTGCTAAGCCTATTTTCTCCCTTTTGTTTGCTCTTAATTCCTATGTTTTTTCCTGGATACGATTTATTTATTTATTTATTTTTTTCCCTCAGTAACTTATCAGCTTTTGTAGTGTTCTTATAGCTATTCCTTCTGGGAAGAAAATAGCTAAGTATACATCTGATGAGGCCATGGGGTTGTAAACATCACACTTTTGAATTTGTTCTGTCTTGTTCTTTCCGCTTGGGATAAACACGTAAAGTACTACACACCTGGTCCCGAGTGATCAGTAACTTCTCCTTTTCAAGAGAAATCTCTCTACGTGTGCTTTTTAAAAAACTGCCTTCTCTTTCACCCAGGGCTACTGGCTTTGTTTTGGTCGGTGTCCTACCTTTAACCATGGGTATTTTTGCATTTAGATGAGCGGGGGTTTGCTGTTTGACCCGTCGGATGATGAGGAGCTGAGGGAGCGGCTGGATATGCATTCAATCATCGTCTCCTGTGTTAACGAGGAGCCCCTCTTCACGGCAGACCAGGTACCCGGACAGCCCTCATGGCGCCAGGAGGGCAGAGCGTGAAGCTGAGAGCCACTGCCTGCCGATCTGTCAGAGCTTGCTTGTTTTTCTTACATTGTGTGGATGTATAGGCTTTCTTTCTTTCTTTCTTTTTTAAAAATGTATTTAGCACAGGGTCTATAGGGTCTCACTACACAGATCAGACTCGTAGTGTTCCTCCTGTTTTTTCAGCCTCCCAAGTGCTGGGATTACAGGTGCGCGCCATCATGCCCAGTCTAAGGCTTTCATTTGACTTTTCACTGAAGGAAAAAAGAAACTATATATTGTCTGACAGTGAAATTTTGTTAGTTGGGAAGATTTTTAATATAGGCATTCTTAATGTAGTACAAACTACTAAGGGAGGCTTATTTCTTAATCCGAAATCACAGAAATTTTGTGAATTTCCTACTTTCTTTAGATTTATTCAAACATGGGTACATAGTATAATATATCTGTATAAAAATGTATCTTTATTTCAAATTCAGAGTTTGTGTGCCCCAGAAAAAAGGGATCATTATTCTGTGGAATGCGCTAGTAGTGTCAGCCCTGTGTTCATTGGAAACCAGTTGAATCAGTGTTCTCATTTTTTGCATACTTCTCCCACCTCTGTTGTATTGTCAGAACGGGAGGCTGGAACTTCTTCCTGGAATAAAAAATGTTCCTTGCTACTGGGACTGAATTCTACCATACTCTTATTTTTAGGCTAGAAGGATGAGGTCACTAGGAGATACACTCTGGTAAGGTTGGGAGGAAGACATTAAAAATGTACATTAATATATGTTATTTTGATCTGCTTTGTCCAATTTGTGGTTGGATTATTTTTGGCTGGGAAAGAGTACGGCAGTTAAAAAAGCGAAGTAGTAATGGGTTAGAGGGCTGTTGCAGAGTGGAATGTGATATTCCAAAGATGTGACCAGAGGCATTCACGTTTGATCTAGAAACTTGCCTGAGTATCAACAGCTACCCTTGTTTCTGAGACTTAGAGAAACAGAGTTTGTATCTTCCTTGAGTGTCTCATTGTCCTATTTGCAGTGCCTGTTTTGGACAGTGTTTTTCTAATTAACACAATCCCGCCACCTTTGTTGTAGTTTTTCCTCTGTAGAAGTGCTACTTCTTAAGCTTGCATATTCCCCACGCATATTAATATGATATCGTACACTTTCATTTAATTGTATTTTTTAATAGCTTTTTTCCTTAATTGATAAGTTTTTTTGGAAATACTTGAATATTGAGTACCTTTTTCTGGCTTTCCTTTGAAGTTTTGTTGAGTCCCATTGTTTGGTTGAGTTCCATTATTTTCCCCTTCACTTTTAGAATCTGACACAGGTCAGAATGCAGTACTAAAGTCTGAGCCATAGTGCTTATGACAGTAGATCATTGTCGAAAAGGCAGATGTATTTCTGAAATTGTCCTGCTTTTTTTTAGTTCCATACTTTAAGTAATTTTAATATCCCTTTGTCTTTGGTTGAATTACCATGTGAAATTCTTTTTCTGCGGTTAAAGGAAAATTTTGCTGTTAGGGAGGTAATCTCTTGCTTTATGTTTGTGTTTTTATACTGTTGGAGTTTCAGAATTTTATGTCAGATTTTTTCTCTGAAATAACTTTAGGCTGAACGTGTGCGTAATGGTGCATGGTGAGTTTTCTTCTGTTTGCCTTCTTTTGACTGTAAAGTTATGATCTGCCCCTGGTGTGCCTGGAAAAATTATCGAAGTGTTTTGTAGCACCATTTCTCAGATATTGCAGTATCAGGTAGGGCCTATTGGAGCCTGAGAGACATATTAAGTGTATTTAGTTTAATTTTGTTTTTAGTGTGTTGCAAATTTTCCATGATAAAAAGCCCTGTTTACTTTTAAAATCCAAAATTTTGATTATTCAGAATATTTACTTGTGCACACTATTGGTTAATGAGAATCCAGTGCCCTTCTCCTCTGATTACTGCAGGTGAGTGCCATGTTGTGGAAAAGTCATTTTTTCCCTCTATATTTGATTAATACTACTGTGTGCATTTGGAAGGTTATTGAAGAAATCGAAGAAATGATGCAGGAATCCCCAGACCCAGAGGATGATGAAACTCCTACGCAGTCAGATCGGCTTTCAGTGCTGTCCCAGGAGATTCAGACTCTTAAGAGGTCCAGTACAAGCAGCTATGAAGAGAGTAAGACACCATCCCTATATCCGTGCTTGTTGTGCTTTTTGTCTGTTTCAGACATTGATGGGACCATCTTCACAGAGCTGTGATTCTCACAGACAGGCTGGGTAGTGCACCCTTCTCTGGCCTTCTTGTCATTCAGTGCTCTGGGTATACTTTGATTGTTTCCCAAGGACTGTGTTGTGTTAAACCCTGCCCAAGTTCTGGCCAGAAGCCCTGTTTAAGCAGTTAGTGGGCTTGGTCTCTTCTGAGGCCTCTCCCCTGGGTTTGCAGATGGCCCTCTTTTCCCTGTGTCTTCACGTGAGCTACCTTCTATGTGTCTTTCTCCAAATTTCCTCTTCTTGTGGGAGCACCAGTCATGTTCCAGCAATAGCATTCTGTTCTGAGGTACAGTCATACCTGAGTGCTTGATGCTTTGAAACCCATTGAATTTGGTGCTTGACTCAGTTTTACAGAAAGATTTTGTCCTGGTACCTATTGTTTGGTACTTGATGTTCAAGTTAAAACTGGTCAGCGTCTGTTGCCTCATGGGTTGCTTCCCTCTGCAGCTGAAAATATTTGTCTGCTACCTGCTTTTGTTCTACTTATCCTGCCTCCTCATGCCTGTGAACTATGGGTGTTAAGGTACTGGTGTGCTGGGAGTTAGGGCTTCCACATACAAATTTTGAGGACAGACATAGTTCAGCCCATAACAAAATAATTAATAAATGGTCAGTCATTCCTGTCTTTATCAATGGTGGGTTTTGGTGTAGATGAAGAATTTTGGGAATTAAAACTGTGCTTGAATTAGGGTTGTTTGACATACTTAAGAATAGAAAGCATACAACTTCAGCCTCCATGTGATTCTTCTGAGACTGGTGTCTAGGCATGCATCTCATGTTTACCTTATGGCTGTTTCTCTCTTCGACTAGACAACGATGGAGTCTCTGTCTGCTTCACTTACACTGTCACTTGGTTTTACATTCTGGGAAGACCAGAAATTATCTTTGGGTTGTATGGCTTCCTTTTAGCATATGGAAGATGTTCCGGGTGATCTCTGTCCACCATGTTGCTGTGCATACATGCTTAGCATTGTTAGAGCCCTGTTTCCAAAATATGATCATGATGTCTATAAGATACAAAGCTCCATCTTAGTTTTCTAGGGCTGCCATAACAACTACCGTACACTGCACTGAGCCTGCCACTGAGACCAGGCATGGTGGTGCACCCCTGTAATACCAGAGCTGGGGAGGCTGAAAACAGGAAGATCACTAGAGTCTGAACTGCATAGTGAGGCCCTGTACCAGACACATTAAAAAATTAAAAACCCCCAAACAAACAAAAACACAAAGCAAGTACCACAGACCGAGGATGTAAACCATGGAAGTTTATATTCTCACAAGGCCGGAGCCAGGAGTCTGAGACCAAAGTGCTAGCATAGTTGGTTTCTGACAAGGCCTCTCTGACTGTGGATGGTTCTCAGCTATGTTTTGACATGATCTTCTCTGTCCTCTGTCTTGGTCTCTTGATTTTGTGGGGACAGCAGTCACAGTAGAGTAGAACCTCGCCTGCTGTCCTCATGTTAGCGTAGTTACCCGCTCTAAACACTCCTCAGCTTACACATTCACTTCTGAGGTACTGGGAAGTAGGCCTTCCACAGGGCCTGCGCCTCACCTGAAAAGACTGAAATGGGCTTGCAGAAAATAGTGCTTCCTTTCAACTTTGTAATTATCCACCAAATCCACAAATTAAGGCGTGTGTGATTATGTGTTTAGTTTCATTCTGTCAGATCGACTGTCCCTCTCCCAGGGATGTTAAAAATCCTGTGAATTTGCTCACACTGTCTTCTCCTCAGGTAGTTTCCCTCAGCTTCTGTGTGGACTATTTTCCTGTATGAGCTTTTTCAGTCTTGGTGGATAAGTTCTATTCAGGGGTGCTTGATTTATGCAAGAAGGAAAAAAAAGTTTTGTTACGCTTTTCTGTCAGCCGGGGGGAAGTGACTTTGCCTGCTCACCCATGGTCTCCCCAGGAGTTTGAGGGCTCAGAGAAGATCGGGAACAGTGTCATTGCTTGGAGTGTTGTTTTTGTGTTTTGGCACAGAGCACACTGTTGTGCTGCTTTGAAGCACTCTTGCCTTAGTGTCTGCCGCACTTGTTTTGGTCACAGGGGTGAAAAGGCTGTCTGTGTCGGAGTTAAATGAGCTCCTGGAAGAAATTGAGACCACCATTAAGGAGTACTCCGAGGAGCTGGTGCAGCAGTTGGCTCTACGAGATGAGCTGGAGTTTGAAAAGGAAGTAAAAAACAGCTTTATTTCTGTCCTTATTGAAGTGCAGAACAAACAGAAGGAGCACAAGGAAACGGCCAAAAAGAAAAAGAAAGTAAAGAATGGCAGCTCTCAGAATGGGAAGAGTGAGAGAAGTCACATGCCAGGCACAGTAAGTGATGCTTTGCAGGTGGCACTGGTGCCTGAAGAAGGTGCCCAGCCCTGACCAGCAGCAGCAGCTGTGGTGGCTGGACCCGTGAGAAGGCCCTGCCTCCCGTCCTGGCGCAGCAGCGCTTCCTCTGGAACATGCCATCCATGGTTTCTTCAGCAAGGTGTTTCTGAATAGTGCTGTGGCCACCCTCGGGCTGGGGCTAACTCCATGGAGAATGTTTAGGAGGGAGGCAAGGGGAAGGTAGTTGGGGAGGGACAGTGTCTTAAAAGGAGTATCACTAGCAGGTGACCATTTTTAATACAACAAAATGTGAATGGTGGTAACATTTGGCTGGTGGGCTTATGAATAGTTTTTTAATGTATGGATTGTGCAATCACTTAAAAAGGAATTCATTTAGAGCTAGCGTAGCAAATAGGTTCCTTTTGATTTTAGGGTTAGGACATGTGGATGGTAGTGGCTGTGTGTGACAACCCTCTCTTTGTCCTTCAGGCCAGAATATTACTGATTGATGGAAACAAATTAGGGTGTTTGCACCTTGGACCGCTTCTTCGAGGGTATTTTGTTTTCGATCTAATTTTTCTCAAGTGGTCCTGTTAACTTAGCTGATTGAATTTGATCGTGAGCCTTAACTGTAGTTTCTCTGACTGCATTTCTTTTCGATTTTGAAGCTCTCATGTTTCTGTGATCATTTGAGGCCTGTATATTTCCACTTGAATTTTATGTGTGGAAAACTGTTTAATTTTTACGGCACAGTGGTTGGGTGAAGGGATCCATTTTTCTGAAGGGGATGTGCGTATTTTCTTAATTTATGGCACTGTTGGCTTGGTAACACATAATCACAAACTATGATGGCTTAAAATGATATAAATTCTCTTTCAGTCTTGAATTTTCTTCTCTAGAGAAGCAGGTCTCATTGACCAGGTGCAGATGGAACTTTAGGAGGAGGATACATTCTCAGTTGCGGGGCCGCCGAGATGTGGTCAGCGCGCACACACCCACAGAATCTTGCCATAGAGCCCGTTCATAATGCTGCTGCTAACCTTGATGCAGTCGCATTTTATTTGTGTAGTGTGCATTTAGATGTGGTTACAAAAGACAGAACTTATAAAGGGAAAAGGTACTTACTGTCAAGAAATGGCAATATTGATTGAAAAGTTGTGTGTTTAGTCCTTTTTAGAGACCCCTTTTGGGAAACAGTATTTGTTTGGATATACAGTTCTGAGATGTTTCCTTTAAAATATCAAGGACAGTAGTTTGCTTTGCATCTCATATTTTGGTTTTTTTTTTTAATGTATTTAATGCAGGATCTACAGGGTCTCACTACACAGATCAGACTCGTAGTGATCCTCCTGTTTTTCAGCCTCCGAAGCTCTGGGATTACAGGCGTGCACCATCACGCCCAGTCTGTCACCCTCTCAGGGTGCCCCAGGGGTGGGGCCAGCATGGCACACCAGGGATGGAACCCCGGTCCCTGCATCTGCCTAAGCAGGCGCTGTAATCCATTGAGCTATCTGGCTGGCCCCTTGCATCTCATATTTAAAAAAAATCACACCTTTAAATTGCCCTCTTAATACTAGTGGGATTAAGTAAAATGCTAGTGAAGAAGTTATAGTATGGGTGGCAATTTCTGCATATCTGCTTTTGGGGATTACATTAAAATCCTTTACTTATTGGTATTAACACTTGGCTGAGAATAAATTTGTCCCTCCAGGGGTGTAAAGGCCTCTTTCTGTAATTCCGATATAAACATGGTTGGAGTAGATCCGTTGTGTCATTTTGCAGGGTGTTTCTATTTAGGAACGGATTTGGCAAGGTGGCATTTTGGGTGTGTTCGCACCCCTACTCGTCTTAGAATAGACTGTTAAACAGTAAGTCTTTTCACAGTATTTGAACTTGGAAAATTGCTTCTTGATTCTGATCTGATATTCATGTCAAAATTTTAATTACGGCAGGAACGGCCTGGCTCAGCTTCTGGTATCCTTTCCTGTATCTTTTTTTAAGCTGAAAATGCCAGAGAATGACCATGCCATCGGAGACACAAACAGCATGAAACCCTGTGATTTTGAAGATAGTGGGAGAAGACTCGGAAGGCCCCTCACATGAAAGGGCTAGTTGTATAAACACATTTCACAAAGTGTTACCTTTCCAAACCATTCATATAACATATAGTTTTGTCAAGGCCTGATATCTGTGGGTTAACTATTGTCAGTGATACAAATTTTTAAAAAATGATGACCTTCTGATAGATTTGTTGTCTGTTTTTCCAGTAACATCGGTCACTTTTTACTTCCTAGCAGAAGTATTTTTGAGGTAGCAAGCTTGAGTGTTTTCTTAATCGTGGGATAGCTTCCTTCCATTTTTCTTCCAGCATTTTTTATTGCACCAATACATTTAATTTTATCTGGTGTAGTGTTTTCTCCATAATTCCTAGCTTGTTCTCCTTGGGCCACGGATACTTTTGTGACAGACATATCTGGTTGGGAATAGCACAGAGCTAATTTTAGAGACGTGTTTTTTTCAAACATTTATTGCAGTTGAAAAAAAGCAGGGTATGTAGGAATGCTATTTATAGCTTCAAAATGTTTTACTAAAATCTGAAAATAAAAAAAAGTGGAGTAGCTTTAAAAAAGTGCAGTGCCAGGTGTGGTGGTGGATACCTGTAGTCCTAGCACTTGGGAGGCTGAGGCAGGAAGATCTGGGCTACAAGGTGAGTTCAAGGCTACGTAGTGAAACCCTGGCTCAAAAAGATAAGGGAAAAAAAGTGAAATGTTATCTTGAATTGACTTTTACCTTTTTTTTTTGGTACCAGGAATCAAACTCTGGACTTTGTTCTTGTGCCACTGAGTTGTATCCCCAGCGACATTTTTTTTTTTTTTTTTTCCCTTAATGTATTTAGTATGGGCTGTACAGGGTCTCACTACACAGATCTGACTTGCAGTGATTCTCCTATTTTCAGCGTCCCAAGTGCTGGGATTACAGGCACCAGCACTCCCAGTCTCAGTTTCCTTCTCTGCATGCCCTGGGGGTGGGGCTGGCACTGCCTAAGCAGGTGCTTTAGTACGCTGAGCTATCTGGCAGGCCCTCTCCCCTGACTTTCACTTTTTAAAATAACTATGTTTTCTGTTGTGTAAGACGTTAGTCATTCATTGGTCAGATTTTTGTAAAGGGTCCGCCTGTGCCAGGCACTATTCAAGACACAGTAGCAAGGAAAAAAGATAAATCTGTTTCCCTCTTGGAGCACCAATTCTTTTTCTTCTTTTTCAGTGGTCAGTTGCGTAGCTGTCTGGGTAAGGTGGTCAGTACCATAGCTGTCAGGGAGTTGTGCTAGATCGGGTGGTCACTGTCCCACTGCTACCTGTGCTTGGTAAGGGACACTTCCCAGCCCCTTTGCACCTTCCAGTTTGGAGGGAGGTAGAGGAATCTATGTCTTTGGGAATCTCAGTTCAAGGGAGTCAGAGACGGTGCTTCCTCTGCCCTGTCGCAGCATCTGGAGGTGGGGGCTGGCCAGGTTGAAGGTCGTCACAGTTAGTGAGCTAGCCACGTTTGTTTGAAGTGATTGTGATGTTCTGGGTCTTGATATTTTATATTTTTGTTTTTTTTTTTTTTTTTTTTTTTTTTTTTTTTTTTTTTTTTTTTTGAGTGGGTTTCCTTTTCTCTCTCTCTCTTTTTTTTTTAAAACTCAAAATCATGGTTAAGCCTTGTCGTCTTTTCTTAGACCCTTTCCTCTCCGTCATTCTTCTCAGGGGAAAAAAAAATTGTTTAAATATGCAGTTCTGGAAAATTTGCTTTACAATTCCAGTGAAAAGTTGACTTCTCTGTCCTTTCGAGTTTAGTATTACACCTTTTAACTGTCTCTCACAGTCATCATATACTGCGATTCTTTTTCATCGCAGTCTCAGTCATGTTTCCCCAAGAATAGGGAATGTAACTTGGTTCTCTTTGTATCTCTAGTTCCAGCGTGAGGTGCTGGGTACGTTTCTGCTGAATAATGAGAGACGGAAGAAGGAACTTGTCAGTAAGCCTGGGTGGCTCTTTCTCCCGGGAGCCAAGCTCACTGCATAGTTTACTGATGAGGAATGGGTTAGGGCTTTGCGTCCTAGTCCTGCCGCTGGGTGTAGGCACTTTCGAAATCGGGAGGATTCAATGAAGTAATGTATTTCAGAGTTCCACACACCCCGAGTAAATGTCAAGATAAATATCCAAATGCCTACCTGACATTTTCCCCTTGGATGTTTTGTAGGAACCTGAAATTCCTATTATTAGACCAAATCTTAAAATGGAATGTAAAAAAAAAAATTGTTGTTGTTTGGTGCAGTTAGTTTACTCACTTTCTGAAGCCAATAAAATTTCTAGATCAAAGAATTTGCAGTTTTAAATGACTGCCTTTTTCAGGTTATACCAAATGTAACCTAACTGTAGTAGGTAGCAACCGTTTCCCCACACTTTCTCCCATGGACATGATTAGATATAATTCTGATAGGAGAGTCAGGCAATGGCTTGATTTATAGGCCGCTTGTGTTCTTTGACAGATTGCCTGTTCTGTCACTTGAAATTTTTTCGTGTTTATTTGTGCGAGCCCACACGCTTCTCCTGTCGCGGTGCTAGCCTGTGTTGCAGTCTTTGGCTCCAATCTCTCACACAGTACAGACCCCTCAAAGACTGATCTACTGTGTCTTCCCGGCACAACACCTTGTTTCTAGGACATGGAGATTGAATTCCAGATTTGAATTTGTAGTATTGGTATAATTATTATTATTATTATTATTATTTTTTGAGTCAGGATCTCACTATGTAGCCCAGGCTGGCCTCGAACTCAGTGATCCCGCTGCTCAGCCTCCCATGTGCAGGGGGATTATAGGCGTACACCACCATGCCTGGTGGTAATGGAGTTATTGTTCTATTTTTAGGTTGGAGGGGAGGCTGTATTTCTATCAAACATATGGTCAGGGCATAGAATTTTAAAGGCAGTGCTCTTTATTTTCTGGAACAGGGGATTGAAC